CGCCGCGACCGGCCTCCCCGTCGCGACTGGCCTCCCTCCACAATCAGCCTCCCCGCCGCGACTGGCCTCCCTCCACAATCGGCCTCCCCGCCGCGACCGGCCTCCCTGTGTAATCGGCCTCCCCGCCGCGACCGGCCTCCCCGTCGCGACTGGCCTCCCTCCATAATCAGCCTCCCCGCCGCGACCGGCCTCCCTCCACAATCGGCCTCCCCGCCGCGACCGGCCTCCCTCCGCAATCGGCCTCCCCGCCGCGACCGGCCTCCCTCCGCAATCGGCCTCCCCGCCGCGACCGGCCTCCCTCCATAATCGGCCTCCCCGCCGCGACCGGCCTCCCTCCATAATCGGCCTCCCCGCCGCGACCGGCCTCCCTCCGTAATCGGCCTCCCCGCCGCGACTGGCCTCCCTCCGCAATCGGCCTCCCCGCCGCAACTGGCCTCCCTCCGTAATCGGCCTCCCCGCTGCGACCGGCCTCCCTCCACAATTGGCCTCCCCGCCGCGACCGGCCTCCCTGCGTAATCGGCCTCCCCGCCACGACCGGCCTCCCCGTCGCGACTGGCCTCCCCGCCGCGACCGGCCTCCCTCCGTAATCGGCCTCCCCGCCGCGACCGGCCTCCCTACCTTCTTGGCCTCGCGCCCGCCGTGTCCCTTCTTCTTGGCTTTGGGCGCCAGCTCTGCAAAGACAAGGACGGCGAGGGGACAGTTAGCGGCAGGGCCCCGGGGTTGTATCCCCCCCCCGCGGCGTTCCCAATGGAAAAGCCTCCAGGGGCCTTTCCACCCGCCCCCCCTGTCGCTTCCCAGATTGGCAATTCCAAGAAATACCCACCCCGGGACAGCCGGGTTATTTTTAAAGGCCAAATCCGGGTGTTTTCCCATTTTTTTCTCTGGGAAAATGCCCATTTCTCCCGGCTGAGCGGAGCCGGAGCGGAACCGTTATCCCTCTAACTTTGCCAAAAAGCAAAGGAAATTCCCTATTTCGTGGCCGGGATGTGACGTCAGCGCCTGGCATTCAAAGCCTTTAAAAAGCTGTTGAAAACATTCATTTTCCCCCAATTTTGCCCAAACGATCCCTCCCCAAATCCCACCTTTGAGGGCATCTTTCCTTAATGGCGTGGAATAAGGGGGAAGCGGTGACTCCGGGAGCCAAAGCGGCTCCGCCGGAGCCGCCAGCAAAGGGAGAAAGAGGAGAAAATGGGATAAAAACCATAAATAGAGCGATATGAAATAAGAGCTAAAATAAAAATATGTGGAAGACAAGACGGCGCTTGGGATCGTGGGAGAATCCGCTCCAACTCGCGGCCCCCGGAGGCAGAGCCAAAAGAAAGCTCCGAGGGCTCCGGCGGGTCAAGGAGGGAATTTGCACAAAGGTCGGAAAAATTTAACTGGAAATAAATTCCAATTAAAAATAGAAAACGCCCAGGGCGAGAGGAACGGCAAAAAAAGGGGGTGAATTTCATTTTTTTTTTCCCTTTCTGGGGATGTGTTGGATTTTCCTAAGCCAAAGGGAGGTTTTTTTGTGGTGGAGGGGGGGAAATGAGGTTGGAAAGGGGAAAATTGGTGGTTTGGGATCAYGGTGGCCCCTTAAAATCGTGGGAAAATGTTGATTTTGGCAGTGGGAAAAATGGCAGTAAAAATGGGTAGGGGARAAAAGCCTTTTTGGCACCAAATCCATCCTGGCCTCTGGGCGCTGAAAGAAGCGGAATGGGGAATTTGCTGGAAAAAAAATAATAAATTCAACTGTGAGGTTACRTGGGAAAAGCTGCAGAGTCTGGGAAGATTCCCAAAATCACAGGAAAGCGGCAAAATCTGAGGAGCAGCCCCTCTCAAAATTGTGGAAAACTATACGGGCCAAGGCGGGCTTAAAATCATGGGAAAAGGAGCAAAATTTGAGGGATCCTCCCTAAAAACCTCAGGAAAGCTGCAGAGTCTGGGAAGAGCTTAGGAATTATGGGAAAGTGGTCAAATCTGAGGAAATGCACCCAAAACCAGRGGAGAGCAGCAGAGTCTGAGGAAACTCCAAAAATACGGAAAAATTGTGGTGTTTAAGGAGCCCCTAAAATCACAGGGAAGGAGCAAAATCCCAGGAAGTCCCCCAAAATCACGGGAAAGCTGAAGAGTCCAGGAAGACTCCCCAAAAAYCACAGGAAAGCAGCAAAATCTGAGCAAATCCCCCCAAAATCGTAGGAAAGCCAAAGAGCCTGGGAAGACCTTAAAATAGTGGGAAAGCTTCAGATGGATTTCCCATTTTTTAGGAATTTTAGGCTCGGAAAAGCCAGAGGATGGGAAATACGGCACTAAAGTGGGGTGGAGTTTCAAGGTGGCTGCGTTTGAGTGGGAAGTACCAAGATGTAGCGCTAAAAACTGCTCTTTTTTCCCCAATTTCCTGGGAATTTCCAAGCCTGCATGGATTTTCCAGACTTTTTCCAGTGTTTTTTTCCAGGGAAAACCTGCGGCGCTGACTCGGAATAAAAGGACGGGTCCCGTTTGTGGCTGAACGGAGGACGTGGGATAACGGAGTGTTTTAAAGAGAACAGAAGGAAAAGAAATGCCAAAATTGCGGAAAAGCAACGGAAAAATCATGGAAATGGGAAAAAGATGGATTATCCCACAATTTTGTGGCAGGAATTAGCTGGAAAGCTGCCTTAAAAATGCTTTTTCCCTCCCAATTTCCACTTTTAAGGCAGCTAAGGTCACTTCCATGCCTTAGGGTCAATAGATCAAGCCCATTCTCCGGCTTTTTCCACTGGGATCCGAATGTTCCCGCTCCTGGAAACCAAAGCCGAGGAAGAGGACGTGAGGAAGGGCTGCTGTGCGCCTGGAAACCCTTGGAAGCTGCTGGATCCTATGGGAAAAGGACGGCGCCAAATTTGGGAGAGGAGCGGGATGGGCTCCGATCGCCGCTTGGGTCTTTTCCCTGGTTTATGTCCTCTGGGAAGGAAATACGGATAATTTTGGGAGGAAAAACTGCTTTCCGCACACCAGGGGCGGTTTGTGGCTTCCCACATGCCGGCGTGGTTGGAAATTGGGGGGGAAAAATGGCTTTTTTGTCACCCGACTGGGGTTTACCCTACGGAAAAGCCCGCGGTGGGAATGCCGGCGAGGGCATTTGGAGATAAGATGTCGCAAGAAGCAGCCTCCCAAATCCGGAATATGGGAAAGACTGAGGTCCATATTTGGGAAAAACACGCGGATAAGCAGTACAGAAGCCGCCCCGGATGGTTATCCTCTTTTTTCCCCCCCAAGTTCCTGCCTAATTCCATAAAAAAAACACACAAATGCTTGTTGGGACCTTTCCCCATCACGTTGCTCCTGGCGCAACAGCTCTAGACCTCCTAGGGGGAAAACACAACAGCTCGCTCAAAATAGACATTTTTTGGTTCATTTTGGGCAAAGCGAGACAATTCGGCACGTGCCGGGGTTCGATTTCCAGAGGAAAGGCCAATTTTGAGGGGAAAAAGCCAACAAAGAGCCAATCTCACCCGCTAAATAGAGCTGGACTTGACGCTGCCTTGGAAAACACCCGCCCCGGGGGAGGAAAAAGCAAAATAAAGCTCAAAATTAAAGACCAAGCCGGTAATGAAAACGGTATTTATTTATACAGAAAACAGGTTAAAAAAAAAAAAGGAAAAATAAAGGGAAAAAAAAAAAAGAAAAATAAAAGGATTGAGTCTTTTAAATAAGCCACGTCTAACCTGTTTCTGAATCTTCGCTGTCGGAGGAGCTGGACTCGCTGGAGCTCTCGGATTCGGAGGAGGAGAAGCCCTTCATCTTGGAGGAGCCGGCGACGACGTCCACCTTCTCCGCTGCAAGCAGAGGGGGACACGGTTAGGCGCCAAAAATCAGCGTAAAAGGAGGATTTGCCTTTAGTTTTTAATAATATAATCTATTTTTTAATAATACAATATATTTATAATAATACAAGGAATTTTAATAATATACTTTAATAATATACATTTTAATAATATATTTTTATAATATATTTTTATAACAAAATATATTTTACAATTTGATGTATTTTTATAATATATTTTTAATAATATAACTTTCTAATAATATTTGATTTTAATTAAGAATAATAGAAGAAAAGCGGCCAACGAGGGGCCTAGGGATGCTCGAGCTGCTGGAACGTGGTACCTTTCTACGTGTCAATAATTTAAAGGGAAATAGGGTGTTTTTGGGGGGGATAAGTAGGAAAAAACGGGAAATTTGGCCCGTTTTTTTTCCCTATTTATATTGATTTCCACACTGTAATTGCTAAAAGTTCGTCAAGGGACAAGAGGTCATTAAGATCTAAAAAAGGGTGCTAACTGGTTTGTCAGTCACAAATATATTATAGGTATATAAAATATATTTTATATATTTATGTATAAATATATATGCACGTTAATAGGGATTTTTATTAAATATATCACCATTTACATCCCCAAATACAGATTTTTATTAAAGATATCATCATTTCTGTCCCCAAAAAGGTGGGCATTTTTATTAAAGATACCCTTCATTTACATGCCCAAATAGGGGTTTTTATTAAAGATATCATGCTTTATGTCCCCAAATAGGGATTTTTTATTGAAGACACCCTCATTTACGTCCCCAAATAGGGATTTTTATTAAAGACACCCTCATTTATGTCCCCAAATAGGGATTTTTATTGAAGACACCCTCATTTACGTCCCCAAATAGGGATTTTTATTGAAGAGGGCATCCCTTATGTCCCCAAAAAAGGATTTTTATTGAAGATATCATCCTTTACGTCCCCAAATRGGGATTTTTATTAAAGGTATCATCATTTTTGTCCCCAAATAGGGATTATTATTAAAGGTATCATCATTTTTGTCCCCAAATAGGGATTATTATTAAAGGTAT